TTGGGAGATTGGAGTTCGGTGTCACCCCAATAGCAGGGGGATAAGGGCGGCGCAAAAGTGTAGTTAGCATTTTCCTTTGGTTCTTCATCAAGTGATACAGTGAAGAGTCACAGGTCATTGAGATTTAATAGTTTTATTAAAAGTATATTTTAGAAAGACAAAGTATGCCCCAAGGAGGCACGTGATCCCAGCATAGTAACCAACACAAAGGGGCCAAAAGGGCCACAAAAGGGCACCAAAGAGAGCTCAGAAGTAAGAATGTCTGCCTTATATTTAGGATGTGATGGGTGGTTCCAAAGGCATTCCTAGGTGATTGGCAAGTGAGGTCATTTTGATTGACACCTGGCTGCTATATAACTCTTTGCTTAGTGCGCATGTGCATACCCAGAATTCTGCTACCATTGGGGTATTCTTTGGGCAGTCTTTAGGCTGGGTCCCTATTCCTTTGTTCCCCCTGTTGCTCATGTCTGACTAGCTACCTAACGTATATACACATATATATAGAATATATATTATATTTGTAAGTTGTAAGTAATAAAATACCTATATGCCCTGTGATATATTGTCTTTGTCCTCAATTCTTCACTTCTTCTTGTATCCATGACATAAAAGGCAGAGTATAGTCCCAATTCTTGACTTTGAACTTGGCCTTGCAAGTTGCTTTGGCCAATGGGATGATGGCAGACATGCAAGCAGGGCCTAGTAGTATGTCTGTCCTGTTGAGTGTGCCCTCTCAATACTCTGCACTACTGTGAGATGGACCTTGCAACAGCAGCTAGCTAGTCCAAGAATAATGAGAGTCACATGGATATAGTTACTCAGCTGAGCCCAGCCTAAAACAGCTAACTCCAGCTTACCCCAAGATGTATGAAAAATGAATGCTTATTTTATATTTTATCATGGAAATGTTGTGGTTTTTTTGTTACACAGAAAATGCTAACCAATACATACCCATTACTCAAGAAAAAGTATGTTTCTTTTTGTGCCTGTGGTCCATTCTTGAGTCCTTTTCACTTCATCAACCTATTAATAAAGTGAATTACATTAATATATTTTCTATTAAACCACCCGACAATCTTGGAATAAACAAAACTCAGTCACTTGATCAAATATAAAATTCAAAGTTTTAAAGGCATTTTGCACCTATGCATCTATGTTTATTACCGAGATTTTCCTATAATTTCCTTCTCTTCATGTACTGTACTTGAAAGGTTTTGGTTTTAGGATTATACTAGCTTTATGAAATAAGCTGAAGTGTGCCTCTATCTTTTCACCATTTTCTAGAATTCTAAAAAATAGGAATTAACTGTTTCTTCAAAGTGCGATAGGATTTAGTAGTAAAACCATCTAAGCTTGGTGTTTTCTTAGATCAGATAAATAAACGTAAGCTACAATTAAATGGATCCATAGCTGATCAACACAGCCTTCTCCCAGAAGTGCCAAGAAGTAGATTAATGTCAGTCTGTCCCGTCTAATGTTTTTAGGAATGGTGTAGATGAAAATATAAAAGGCAATTTATTATTTTTCAGGTGCTGAAAATTTGAGAGAATATCTATAATTATGTCTTTAAGGTAAAAACCTGAGATGAATTCGATTCAATTTATTATGATTAAAGGGTTATGGAGATGCTTAGAGTGAACTCTGCCTCCTAAGTTTGTATATATGTTTTATATCTTTGTTTTTGTTTCTTAATTATTGGCTTGAGATCAGTTTGTTTCAATAGGTCTTGAAGCTTTTTCCTGATCACACACTGGAGAGGGAGGGGGCGTTTGCAGTAGATTCTTTAGTTGCTACAGTCAATCCCATTGTTTTAGTAAGAGAGGACCCCCCCACACACACACATACACACACACCCCACCACCACACATGCTCTTATGTTCTCTTTGGTCCTATCCCTGCAGGTACCACATGCCAAGTTCTGAGCACTGTGATTTATATGACAAGCCATAGAATGTCTACAGAGGAGTGACTTTAGACATTTTGGGCCAGATGATTTTGGGAGGGGGGGGCGGGGGTTGTCCAATGTCTTGTAGGATTCTTAGCAGCATCCTTGGCCACAACCCATAGTTGCCAGTAGCACTCCTTGCTAGTTGTAACAACCAAAAATGTCTCCTGGGAGACAAATTTGGCCCTCATTGGGAATGACTGGTCCAGAGACCATATTATAGTAAGAACGGTGAAAGCAGTGGATGATTTGGGCCAGAGACCAAAAGTCACAGTGAAAATATACCAGTTAGTTTTAGAAACTCTATTTAAAGGGCTACTGTGAATGGGGGAGGAGAATCATTCTATAGGGCTCCAAAAGGCAGAGCTAAGGCCAACAGTTGGAAATTGCAAGGTGGCAAATGTGGAATCTGGAAAAAAAATTTTTATTTTTCAGCAACTCAAAAACAATAACAACTTGGGCTGCCTTTCACAGAACTGAGTTCCCTGACACTAAAAGGATTCAAGCAGAGGCTGAATAAACACTTGAATGTTGTAGAGAAGATTTTTGAACTGAAGAGGGATTTGGTTATCTTGATTGCCAGATCTCTTGCAACTGGAGAAATTTGTGTTTTAATCCAAGCAGAGCAGACTGGGAGGAGAGAATATGTGGAGTCATCAGGCTAAGAATGTGTCGCATAAGGTGTTAGTGTCACTGCTCATACCCGCTCAGATCTCACGATTGCTGTACATGTTGATGGCTTGTTTCTACAAGCACCTAGGGTCTTTCTGGCTGCAGGAGTGTGTTCAGCTAGTCTGTGAGGCAAAATAGCAGTGCTGGGGGATTATTCCCCCATCCCTCAAATAGCCTTTAACCAATTTTGGATGAGAGTTGGTGGATACTAACTCCCATGGGAGTTGCCTCCCATGGGGGGATAACTCAGATATGTTCTGCAGCATCTCCCAGGGGTTTTCAGGAGGAATGAGCCCACAGCAGTACCTGCTCATTAAAGCATCTTGTATCACCTTTCTTCCCTTTACTGTCTCACTTCCCTGTTATACTCTCAGTGCTTCCTGGAATCACTTCCCCAGTAAACCTCTTCCATTGGAATCGTTATCTCAGAATCTTCTTTTAAGAGAATTTAAGGTAACACCTACACAAGACCTAAGCAAGGCCTATAGACTTGCTTTCAGAAAAGGAAGTAAACTAGAGGACTGGTTGGTATTTCACATTTATGACACCCTCGTCTTCAGGTTTGAAGCAAGCAAAACAGAGCTTTAGACTGGCATAGTCCAAGAAGAATGATATTTGGAATATGGGAATGAAAAAGGAAAGAGGAAGGGAAGGGAAAGGCCACAGTTACTTCAACTAAAGCAGCCTGTTCAGGACAGCTGAGGAGGCAGTTTGGTCCACACTTTATGTTATAGAGTTCTGTGAAGGGCAGAATCAGAACGACTGATTTCCTCATCGTGTGATTCTGTCCTCCAAGGAGTTCAGAGACGATACATTCAGCAAATATTGGTCAGACATGTGCTAAATGCCAGGCCCTGTGCCAGGCTTTGAGGATGCAGAGATGCATAAAATACAGTCCCAGCCCTTAGATGTTTAAGGTCTAGTTGGGGAAGCAGTCTCATTAATAGACAATTATGCACAGAAGTCTGAGGGAGCAGAGGAGGGGCACATACTCAGGCTGGGGAGTAAGTAGCACAACTCCTTCAG